AATTAAACTTTTTTGTTGATGAAAATTCTTTACTCTTATTTGTATTAAAATCTTAATTACAAGAAATGAGAACATTTGAGTTTTGCAAAAAACAAAAAAGTTTTTGATAGGTAATGAAAGTCCTTGTCTGACAACCTTTTTATAAAATATAATTGTCGCAGTAAAATGGCTGCTTATCATGAATACGCATTATGATTAAATAAAGCATTATAAAATGATCTAGATTAATACTAACGAAGTACATAATGAAAGTTAGTAACTTGTCTTCAAAAAATAATGTAATATTTCTTTTTACTAGTTTTGGATGAATTAATTAAAAAATCAAACTAATAATATATTGGCACCTCAATCGACAGAACTTACTTATATGACTGAAGATGATCATTTGTAGATTCAATCTATTAATAATGATGCAGATATTTTTAATGACTTAAATGTCAAAAATAAAAGTGAAGACATTGTCAAAAATAATATTAATAACATGCTTAATTCACCTAAATATTTTGTATGTGATGTTATTGTAATTTACATTAAAGTATCAGTAATCAAATATGGACTTGTAATTAATAAGATGTGTTATTTTTACAAGGATAAATCAAGTATACTGAAAAATTTGGAGAATTGTTTGGCAACTTTATACAGGGTATTTTTCCACTTTGACAGACAATTTCAGTACACTAAAGAACTTTACAATAAATTACCTTAACAAATGAGAACATGAGAGAAATGGGAAAGGTAATGTAGCTTTATATTGGAAAAATTGGAAAAATTATGATTTATTGAATTATAACAATTAATTAGGTTGAAGCCAATATTCAGTAAACTTCCAAAAAAAGAACTTGTAATAAGTACTATAAAGCAGTGTTGGCATTTGGCCAATGGCCAAACAACCAAATTTTGGCCAAATAACTAGGTATTAATAAATGTATTAATACTTATTAGAATTTAGCCGCGGCCAAGATTTTTTTAGCCATTTTGCCGGGCAATTCGGCCAAATAGCCAATGGCCAAACCTCGGGCAAAATGGTTAAAGGGCAACACTGCTTTAAAGTAAGATCATTTTGACGAATTTTTGGATGTTGATCATTAATTAATTACTATAACTCATTCAAAATAGGAGAAATTTTCATTTCTTAAGCATGCATCACATTAATAATGAGTTTGTAGTTAAGAACTTTGATTATTTCAACAAATGAGTGTCACTTGTGGATATCTCAATCAAAAAGGTGAATCAATTGTGGTAAACTGACTCGTGAGCTCTGAATAATATATATTTTTTTTTTTTGAATCAGGCCAATCCACCATCTAATACCTGTTCTCTGAAAGGAGATCATTCAATTCATAAATATTAGGAAAACTGGGAATTTGGGAAAGAAAGCTGCAGTATGAAGAAAGTTAACGGAAAGCTGTAAATGATAAGAAATATTAAATAGACATAGATTTGTGTACCTTCGATATCCTGTATGTATAAGTTAGAAACAATTGACCAGTGAAAAGTGAAATTCAAGGACCGATGTAATGCATTAATTATTATGCAACGAAGCAATAGTAACGACAGTAAAAAAGAAAATAAAGTATACGTCTCAAATGAATAAATAAACAACGGAAAAGATGAAAAATATTTATTTTGTACATTACCTTTTTTCTTTATTTAATTCAATGAACGTATCCTGTAATTTTCCCCCAAAATTCTTCTTCCTTTTTCTAAATACTCACTTCTCTCCTTTGTAATCTTCTTTCACACCTCAGCCTGTTAAAGTTAAACTCGTTCAAGTCTTTTCCGCCTTTTCCTCTAATGCTGCCATTTTTTTTTGATTGTTGGTAATTTTATTGGAACCTGATGAAATTAAATTGAAAGGAAAAAAAAAATTTAAAAGCCCAAAACAGAGAACGTACAAACAATTCATCTGTCAAACAGAAATGAAAATTAAAAGTATTTGACTTGGATGGCTTCGTTAATGAAGAAATATAATGAGTGGTCTTTTTATCTTTAGTTATTGATCACACAAAGGCTATTTCCTTCTTTTTTTTTTGAAAAAAAAAAAAAAACAATAAAAATTAATATGTGTATTTTTTTAGCGTCTTTATAATCGGAATAAATGAAAAATTATTGGAATTTTCCTAATAATGACATTATATAATATATAATCGCGTTTTCAACACAAATTTATAAAAGAATTTGGAATTCTAAATAAAAGTAGTGTACTTTATTATATTTTTAACGAAAAATAAATGCGAAAACAGCAGAAGTCAACAAAAAGGTACTTTAATCGATGCTATAAATCGTAATCAAATAAGACTTTGATCTTGACCAACTGGTTCCTAAAAAGAATTTAAATTTAATATCGTATCGATAACATTTTAATGAGTTAATTAAAATATATTACCTTGTTATATTTTCTAAAGACGCTTGCGAATCTATTCCAATCATCACTGTATTCGCCCAACATTCTTTTACCATCATCATGAGATAAAGTTACATCAATTGGTTTTCTTTCAAATGACTTTGTTCTTCTTGCCCCATTTTGTGAATCATCAAATGATAAATCTACCAATTGAACATTCATTTCTTGTAATTGATTTTCAACATCCATTTTAGCTGATGATGCTTCAACTTCAACTTGAACTACATTATCAACATTATTTAATAGTGTTGCTGGCAGTGTTGGGGGAACAACTTCAATTACGACAGATGATGGTGGTGAAATGACGGAAGGTAATGGAGATGATGATGTGAATTCAAATTCAATATCAGCGTTGTCATTCGTACTTTCATGTTTTTTCTCTCGTCCTAAAGGGATAACCCTAAATTTTTCTCTTTCCAATTTTTCAATCATACGGTACATCCATAAAAAAAATACTTTTTTTTTTACTAAGAGAGTAAATTACCCCCTATCTAATTCGTTTAAAAATTGTTAAAAATATTTACTTACTACCGGTGGTCATAACATTTATGCTTCCTTTATCGATCGGTAAATGATCTATATCGGAACCTTCAAGTAAATCCTTTTCTGATTCTTGAATTTTCATTTCTGTTTCATCAGCTTTATTTTCCATGTTTCAAGAACGTAAAAAAAAAAAATTTCAAAAGTCTAAATAAAAGAAAAATATTGTTTATTTTTATAGACATCGTTTCTTATTATTATGATTTATTACATCAATCATCATTATGTAACTATAATACATAAACTAATGATGACATCTTTTTTCTGTTGAAATATGAAAACATTCTCTTAAAAATAGCTGATTCGTGGGAACTTTAGTAATTTGATTCCGATTGAAAATTTACTCAAAATATTTAAGTTTTTATTAGTAAAATTATGGTTGCGGATAAACTATTATTTGTTAATGGACATTTCCGATATATCGGATACTGGATTCATTATGAATCCGATATATCGAACATAATAAAATTTCACTTTTATTTTCCTATTATTTTCAAAAGAAAAAAAAAGAAAGCAGTAATGAATGAAATTAAAAAAAAATGCATTTATATCCTTGGATTAGTAGATACAATTTTTAAAGATTATCAAACAAATTATCGAAGATTATCTAGATTATCTCTATCTAGATGATCCAATAAAATTTTTTAAATAAATAAATAAAAATATATTATACTTTTTTTTTAAAAAAAAACAAGAAAACATGTAAATTAACTATCAACAACTTCAACAATTAATGGTTGCGTATCAAAATACATTGTTCTTGTATGAACATCTTCACAATGATATAAAAATTTAAAGTCTCCTCTTGAAAAAAAACATATAGGTAATGTATATGTTATTGAAGATTTTGGTGCAATCTAATTTTGTTAAAAGAAAGGTAAATAAAAATACTTTTTAACGTATTTATGTCATAAATGAAGCTCGAACTTACCTTTGGTAAGGGAGTTTGTAATAATCCATTCCAAACCATTCTTTTAGACAAATCCCATTCCATTATACCATCACTATAACTTTGTACAGGTTGAATTCTTATACATAATTTACTTGATTTCTCTTTAATAATTTTAAAGGAAAAAATATATATATTATTATAGAAATAAATCAATAAATATAATAATAATAATAATTTACCTTGATTATTATAAATAACAAATTTCATTCTAACAAATTCATTAACAGGACATTTAAATTGATTACATGATAATTTAATTACTTTTGACGCATCTTCTATATCAATACCAAATGATACTTCATTAATTTTTAATACATTTAACATTGATTTATTAAGTCTCAATGATCTAATATCAACTATTCCTTTTTGATTTGTAAATGACTGTTATTACAATTTTAACATTAGTTAAAAACAATATTACAATAAATATATGGATTTTTTTTTTGGAAATAATGTAAAAAGGATACAGATTCCCATGTAGCCTTTATTTTTTGTAACAACTTTTCTCTATACCAAAATAATGCTAAAGATAATCTTTCTTGCTCGGCAGATCCCTTCGGTCCTTTTGAGACAACAAATTGTTTTTCTAGAAGTGATGGAATGGGTTGTGTATATTCTTTCTCTGAAAGTGAAATTCGCTTAATGGGTAATATAATTCTAAAAAAAAAAATTAATTGAAAACTTCATTAAAATTTATAATTTCACCTGTGATCTTAAATAGGATAAAAGCTTTAAATACCTTGCAGTTGAAGCAGGCTGAATCGTTGTAGTAATGGTTAAAGGATCAATATCTTCGCCTAAAATATATCATTCATCCATTTAACATTCTTTAATCGATTTAACTGATTCTTTCAAAAATACATGAACAAACCTTCATCAGTCTCAATGGTAACATCAAATCCAACGTGCCAAACATTTCTTATATCAAATGTTAATAAACAATAATCATTTTCCATTTTTTCCATAAAATCTTTTCTTGAACCTTTATTGTTCCACTTCATAACTTTAAGCAAATCTTCGATCACCCCATTCCTTTGATCTTCAATATCACGATTAGCTGACTCATAATTTTCGTCTCCATTTAAAGGTTTAAAATTAAGTATATCCATTGATATTGTTTCCAAATTTTGATGAATCGTTAATAATACTGGATAAAATACTTGTCTTGTATAAAATTGTTCATCATCCGATGTATTTGGCCGAATAAGATATCCGTAATCTATTTGTATAGTTCCATTCACGCTTTTTTTTTTTTTTAAAAAAAAAAAACCATAATAATAATAATTAAGTTCTTATAATTTGTAGTTAAAATAAATCGAATGATCAATTAATTTACCATCCTCTCTTTCCAAATACATTAACATTAACTATCCATTCATTCCCTGGTAAAATTTTAACATTATCTTTTTTATTCCAAGAAAATACTGATTGTTTATGCGCATATAATTCCATTTCATATGCTTCCTCCGCTGGCATATCTGATGAATTTAATAATGCTTGAGCATTGGCAATAGTTGAATCATTAAATGATAAATTTAAGAAATCAACTGGCGTTTTTCCAACATTCTCAAGTTTTATTGTCAGTTCAGTTCTTAACGCATAGAAAAAGGGAAAAAAAAAAAAAAATTGTTTAATTTATCTTTAAATAAATCAATTACTTAGCTATATAATATATACTTACTGTTCTCCCTCAAATAACATCATTGCTCCATGCATTAGTGAAGTGGATTTGATCTTTATTAATGGTTGTTCAGTAATAACAGAAACTTTTAAAAATTCTGAAACAAAAGTTTTTTTAGTAGGTGAATTCTCCTCTTGTTCATTCGATTGTGTAGTATCTAAACATCAAGCCCATCATAGAATTAATACGTTATATCATCATAATAATTATTGAGAAATATAATGAAAACAAACCTTTTTTATGATACGAATTTAACGCGGCTAAGCCACTACAAAATAAAACAACATTCATTAAATAACGCTTAATCACAATCATAAATACTTTAATATCAATACCATTTCTTTATCCTTTTGCTATACTCTTCATCTCTTTCTTTCTTTTTAATTTCTTCTTCATTTGGTGGCAAAAATAAACAAAATTCTTGTTCTAAACAACCATGTACTTTTATTTTACATCCCCTAACAATTAATTCTCCAGACTCGGTTGGTGTTCCAGAAATTCTTAATGTTATAGACGTATTAGATAATATGGTGGTTGAAAATGGATTTGGAGTAAAAGCTACACCATCAGTGCTAAATTAATAAATAAAATAATTTTATAAATAATTTTTTTTTTTTGTGTCATAATAAATAGGTATTTCTTCCAAATATTGTCTAACCTCACTGATATGTTTTGAATTTCCATATCAAATGCAAAAGGATTTGCTAAGGTAACTAGGAAATATGAAGTTTCATTCGCTATTAAATGTATCTAAGGAAGAAAAAAAAAAAATCTTTTAAATCAAGTGTATTTATAAAAATATGACATTATGTTACATACCTGAGCAGTCTCTACTTTCTTTTTATTAAAAGATTGATAAATAAAAGGACTAACTCCTTCTTTCTTATCTTCATTCTTTAAAGATAATTTCTTGTTAGCATGTGGATAAGGTATCCTCCTTGAGGTTGGACTAAATAATTCATTATTTTAGAAAAATTTGAATTCTTATTTAAATAAATTTATTAATCCCCTTCTACGTACCGACACACTTGAATTCCTTTAACAATATTCAGGCCCCAATATTTAAATTCCATATCCAATCCTAGTTTTTTACCAGCACCAACGATGCGTGGAATTGATGCCGACAAACGTACTTGTTCGTCTCTATGTATATACATGAACAATTTGCGCAAGAGTCTTGTTGTATATTTTACCATAGATGGATAGTCTTTTAATAAAACAAATTATTAGATGTTTTCTAGAAATTAGAATTCAAGAAAATTTATGTTATACCTGGAAGTGCTTCAGAAATTGTTAAAGCATCTTTTATTACGTCGATTTGAATATCTGGCCAACCGAAATCGAGCGGTCGTGCATCTTCATCGATCACAGAATAATCTGTTTGGTCAACATCATCTAATTATAAATTAGATTAACATCAAACACTCTATTTATCGTTATGCCATAACACAATACCGATTACCTCCTACACCATAAATTTCCGTGATTTTCTTTAAACAAGTTAATAATCCACTTTCACTTCCGATCGATGATTTATTGGTTTGTGGTGACGAATTACGTGGTTTAGAAAGAAGTGGTAAAATTAACAAAGCTGTTTGTCGAAGAAAAAATGCATGTTTCCGACGAAAATTAATTACTGAAAAGATTGCCGATAACGTAGTAGTTATATGAATCTATTTAAATAACACATACATACGTAAATAATTTTTAAAAACAAAATTAATAAGTATAAAAAAGTGAGAGAAAAGAATTATAAACTATTTATTAATACCTGTTCAGTAATGCTCATCTCTTCTATATAAGATCCATACCCTTTCATCGCCCACCGAGTGACTTCAATTTTCGAAACCCCACTTACGGAACTTAATCCCCATCTCTCATTTAATCCCTTTTCTGGAGTTCCACCATGAACAATTAGTTTTAATGCATCATCACCCCATCCGCCCGTTACCCATATGCATGCCAAATATTTTGCAACTTTCAAACAAGCTTCCGTATAAATTAAAGGGGGCACTTGATTATTTGAAGGACTCGAAGTTTTGGCATATAACGTAAGGATATTAACATATTTTTCAGTTATATCTATCCAAAGAGCTTGAGGTGACTCAGGTGATGAAGGAGCTGATGAATCATTTGGACTTGGTGAAGACGGATGTTGAAGATAATGCGGCTATCATAATATAATTATATAAGTAAACGAATAATTGATTTTAGCAGTAGGTTAAAATCAGAATCTTACCCCAACATCTGTATGGAGGTAGGCCGCAAGAAGTAACCCAACACATAATCCTTCTAAAGCTGACCCTTGCCATAAATAATCACCATTCGCTTTTGTGGCTTCAATAGCGAGAGAATAACTTAAAAAAAAAAAAAAAAAGATTTTAAATATTTTAATACGTAATGGGAGAATCGTATAAATTTTGAGTTTATAATTTATTACGTTTACTTACTGTGATACAGCATCAGGTAATCTTCCGGCCATTAAAAATAAGTCTGCGATTAATTTTTCAATACGGCCAGTTGCTCTCCTCTTTAATTTAATATCAGCGACTGTATTTGGAACATTAGCAATATTGACTAGCGTTGACGATGAGAATGATCTATTATGGTAGGAATTTTCTTTAGGGCTAACATTTGCTGCGGCTCCAACACCAGTGGTAGTCATAGCTTGAACAGGGGGTGTAAGTGGGAAAGCTGGGGGTGTTTGAAGTAATTTTAAATCAGGGGCCGAATATGATTGGAGAGGTGTAGAATATCGTCCATTTGTCGACTGAGATTGGGAAGAATTTGGTGATGGAATTTTCGGTGAATGTACAATTGTTCTCCTTTCAATATCGGCCGCCTAAAATTATTTTAGAATATTGATTAGACAACTTAAATATCATATTCTCTATATTAAATTAAAAGACATACTAAATTTCCGAATTCGTTAAGAATACTATTTGCAAAATCTGAGATCATTGTGCCCATATAAAAATCTATTTTTCCAACATCCGGAATCATGATTAATCCTTTAGTATCATCAGGCTGATCTTCTGAAGGATCAAATGCAAAACATCGATGGGCAACAGCAGTGCGATACTAAAAAAAAAAATAATAGATAAATAAAAATGATTCCATAATATCACGCAAATAAATTCTATGCAATTTTTCCCTACATTTTTAATGATCTCGCTAAATTTCTTATACCCTTCCTTTAAATTCGGCCACTCGCGACAATCCATTATACCGATTACCTATAAGAATTAATTAGGATCAATACATAAATATATGTTCCGAATTATAAAATTTCATTGATACGTACCCCAAAAATCCTACGATGCATTTGGAATTCTTCAAGATAAGCATGTTCCGGTTCATAAGAAGTCACGAAGTTAAAGTGTAGCTGACCTTCATGAAATAGCTGTGAGCTGAACATGGCTGCAATTATTTTTAATATTTTTGTGATTTGACACAACATACATCAATGAAACAGTATATATTATTGGTATCTGTAAATATAATTTAGTTGAAGCGAATAATTTTCTAAATGAAGAATTGTTTATTTCTTTGGCTGCATTTAAAAGATAATTATTCATTTCAATGTGAATTGAACCCGTTTCCGTTCTCTTATAAACATTAACCAATCGAATCTTCATCTGATTTTTTAACATTTTAAAAATGTTTGTTAATACAAGTTAAAATGACTACTCACATTGAACACCTCGCATATCCGGGGTAACGTCCCCAAGTCTTACTACATTAAAGTTTTTCACTAGTTGAACGTGTTTATGAAAAGTTGGCGCTTTAATGGGATGTACTGGGACGAGTAAGATTCGAATACGAGCAGGAGCAGTAAAAAGAAGGGGGTCCATTTCAAAAATAAAAAATTGTTCTTTCAACTTTTTGTGAGATTGATGTAAGCAAATAATGTACCTTAAATACTCTACCAAATTTGGATACTTTTCATTTGTTCGGGTTACATTAACGTGTCACTTTAAAGTTTCGTGCATTTCGACCAATCAGATAATACCACTTGTTAACATAATAAATTATAAAATGCGGCAAAAACTCGATTTTTTTGATTTTTAATATCCCAAGAAAATGAGAAAAGCATTATACTTCAAATTTTTCTGTGCACTTTCAATTTTTTTCCTGACTATTTTTGTTTTACCTTTAGAAGCAAAAGACGAAATATGTAATGGTGACGAATGTTATCCTAAAGAATTCGTCGCAACAGAAGAATTCCAAGAAGTACGTGAAGGACAAGAAATACATCCAGGTATTATTTAATCCAAATTTATGAAAATTTGCAATCATTTGCATTAAAACTTTTTTTTTATTTAGGTTTGCATGTCAAAATAGACATGAGTACCGGAAAGAAATACGCGAAAATACTTGATCCAAATGATAACGAAACTAATAAATCTTCAGAAGTGATAATAATTGACGAACATGGCAATCCAATAAATCAAGAAAAAAATGCATCCGAAAATTTATTAATTACTGATAAATCACAAACTAACAATAAAGATTCCGATTTAAAATTTCATCAAGATTCTAATGAAAGTATTTTTTCACATCCATTTATTACATCAAAGCATAAAGAGAATGTTCGTATCCCACATTCAGATCATGTTCAATTTGAATCCTATCTTTCACAATTAGAAAATTCATCATCCATTCAAGTCATAAATTCAGCTTTAGATGGATTAGAAGAATTGGTTCATGAACTAGATTTTGGAATTAAATTGGCTAGAAGTCAAGGCATAAAAATCATACTTGCACTTTTAGATCATGATTCGGCTCAAATCAAGAAGAAAGCGGCCATTGTTATTGGAACTGCAATGCAGGTGGGCAACAGAAATTAATATTTGATACTGTAATGAATTTTTAATCTAAATTCCGAATAATGTTGTTTTAGAACAATCCTACGGCACAAAATGATGTAAGCCACCTAAATATTGTGACTCGAATTTTCGAAAGTTTGTCAATTGAAAGTGATATAAAAGTCTCGATTCGACTTTTATACGCATTATCAAGTATCGTACGAGGAAACAAAAATGCGATTCAATTCATTAAAGATAGTAACGGATTACAAAGTCTTGTAAATTTATATCAGAGTTCATCAAATAATGAATTTCGTGCAAAGTGTGCTTTGTTCATATCAGATTTTATAGATCCAAATATGATAGGACAAAATACAGGACTTTTTGAACAAGGTCAATATTATGACTCCATAGATCCATTAATGAACGTTATGGAAATATGGTGTAGAAAATTCCAAGAAACTTTGTTTGATAATACAGGAAGTTCAAATAAAGTTGACATCGATTCAAGAGAAAAAATACTCAAAGGAATTTCAATGATCAAAAGTCAATATTCCAGTTCATGCGAAACACAGGATGGATTTAAGAATTGGATAGTTAAAGAAGAAATTGAAGCAATAGGGGAAGATTATTTAGAAGATTATTATAAATTGATCATTCAAGTTAAAGCTCAATTTGGATTTTGATGAATGATGTAATACAAAATTATAATTATTATTATCTCTTGTTTTATTCGTTAATTATAAATAACAATAATAGTACAACAAATAAAAAAAATAAAAAATCAAATTTGTTTCACAAAATATGGTTCGATAACTCGTAACGAATTTAAATTATGTACCGAATTTGATGAACAAAATGCACATCATAGAAACACATGTACCGTGCGCATTTTCATTATATATATATAGAGCTCAACGTATCCATCGAAAATTCATCATCCCTTCTCCTTCACCATTTCCTTTAGACACTTTTCTTTCGTTTTCACATCAAACAAAAAAAAAGTACACACATTCCTTCCTTTAAATTATATTCACACCTCATTTTATATTCACCTCATTTTTAAATATGAAATCTTTCACTGTTGTCGTATTCATCGCCCTTGTACTTGCTACTTTGGCCATTTTGACACCTGTTGAAGCCAACTGGGTTATGAGAAGTAAATATAAATAATGAGTCATTCGTTGATGTTGAGGGTATCTTTTAATATTGTCGTTATTTAAATTTTTATTTATTTATTTTAGAAAAGAGAGACATCCAAGCAAAAAATACACCAGGATGCGAAACATGGGACGAGGAGGTAAATTTTAACAAAGAATATGATAAATTAATAAAATGATATTTCTGTTTTAACATTTTTATTGAAATAAAATAGAGCGGTGTCCCATGGCCAGACAATGAAAATAATGATGTCCAAGATATCTCTTGGACTCACAACTGTATCCGATAATTGCTTTTTCAACCCTGTTTCCGTTTTTTATTGGAAATGTAATTTATTTGTGCATTTTTTGAAAAAATAAATTTGATATTTTAAATTTTAGATATAATTTTTGAAGGCATTAAATAAAAGTTACTTTCCCAATTTTGATTCTAATAAACTTGCTGCGCCGTAATAATCGCCGTTTTATACCCTTTATATTCTAAACGTGCAAGAAAAAACCGTTTTTCGATTTTCGATGTTTCTATAAATGCATCCACGTGACTATCACATAACTACGAATCTTTCCAACACATTTTTCATACCACGTGACCCTATATATTTTGTCATCCAATGTCACCCCTTCGTTTTTATTAATTGTGGTACCGTTACGAGTTTTATTAAAATTATTATAATACAATGCATGATACTTAAAGACTTCAATAAATCTGATGATTTTTAAAATGTTATCAAAAAAGAAAGCCGCATTTTGAAGCCAAATCAATTTACTACAAATTGCCCTTCTTTTTTTAAAAATAATTTCTCATATATCGATTTAAAAATACCTCTTTTCATATGAACCAGTATTCAGTAGGACAAGTATGTGATTAATAAATTATCGACGTTGTTATGGGACCATTTATTAGACAGAGACGATAATCTCTGGCGGCAAAAATTTCATATTTTATTATATTAATTATAATTTCTGCTCATTTCAGCGAAAACAAAAATAAATCTTTATTAATTTTATTACCCAAAAAAATTTAATTGCTATTAAAATACATCATATTTAATTTTTCAAAGAATCTTCTAAAAGATTTTAACAAAAATACTATTGAAAAACTTCTTTTTACACTACAACTAAATACAGGTAACCAAAATATAATTAAGTGGAAATTTTGAAAGAATTGGTGATTTATCTTCAAGATTCATCCAATATTTTTCTAAATCAATTTCTTCAATTAAAATTTCTAATTGCAATCCACAAAATAATTGCCCATTCACAAAGCAATTCATCAAAGGATTTGCTCTAATAATACTACATTGGCCTACCATAAATTACCAGATTTTTAGTCATGTGAATTAGCATTCAGTTTCACAATCATGATTTTGCCTCATTGTACATATAAACAAAAAAAAATAAATTGTTTTTTGTTTCTCTTCTAGTTTTAAAATGCGTGGAAATAAACTGTCAGAAACCCAACATGAACGTATTATTGGCGCTTATTTGAGTGGTGTTAGGCAAAATGTTATTTCAGTTCAACTTGATATTCTTATCAGTACAATAAATGATACAATTAAAAGATACAAAGAAATGGTTTCTAAAACACCTAAAAAATGTTAGAGACGTCTAAAAATCCTCTCTTAATGTGATACTCAAGCTTTATAATGTATAATCCATACTGATCAGTTTTCTCTTCTTAGTAATATAACAGATAAACTAAACTTCAATTTTAACACAACTTTACATAATAGTAATATTAGAAGGTATCTTCATTATATAAATCTTAGTAGTTATTCTACACGTAAAAACCTCTTTTGACTGAAAAATAGCAAAATGATCATTTGAGATGATGCAAAGAAAAAAGAAACTAGAAAGAAGAATGGAAACATATAATATAGTAGGATGAGTCAAAATTTGCTCTTTTTGAGTCAAATGGTCAAATAAGAGTATAAAGAAATATTGAAGAAGCATATAATAACAATTGTATTCAACTTACAGTTAAATTTAATAGAGGATCAGTAATGTTTTAGAATTGTTTTGGTTGACATAAAGTTGGATTTTTAGTTTTGGTAGATAGGAATATGGATTCTGATAGTTATATTAATATTTTAACTAATCATTTTATACCATGGGTTAGTAATTATTCCAATTCTATATTTCAGCAAGATGGAGTCTCATGTTACATATTAAATTATAGTGTTTTGTAGATGAGAACGTATAATATTCCAGTATTAGATTAGGTGATACAAAGTCTAAATCTCAATATAATTGAGAATTTGTGGAATTATTTATACTATCAAATCTGAAAAAAAAAGCTTTTACCTAAATCTAAATAAGAGTTAATTAATGTAATACAAGAGAAATAGATAAAAATTAGCATTAAAACAATTTATGGCTTAATTTTAAGCTTACCCAATCATATCAAAGCAATAATTAAAGCTAAAGGCGGACATACTAAATATTAATTTTATTTATATTAAATTTTTCGAATAATAAATTTTGTATTTGGTATTTATTTTTTTTAAAAAAAAATTCAGTTAAATAAAATGTGAAAAAATTTTTATATGTGTGAAAATTTTTTTATTTTATATATAAATTTTATAAATAGTAAAAAAATTTAGTAATTTATGGTAGGCCAGTGTATAATTCAAGATTACGTATTTGATGTAACCTGATCTTGTAAATCTAATATTATTTTAATTAATGGATTAATCTAATTGTAGTAACATGTTACATATTACAATTATTAGTAAAACTAATAAAATTATTTTAATTTGTTTATAATGTAAATAAAAATATAAAATATTATTAGCTACTATAGGATTATTATATATAATATATTATTACAATAAGATTAAATCTTAATTAATTATTTTATTTAAATCAAGTAATTAAAATCAATTA